TAGAAACGGGGAGGCGCCTACGGTTAGAGTTTAGGGAGGTATTTATGGTATGAGTGTCCGTATTCTCAGGAGTCCTAGGGTTTAATTTTAGAAGTATAGTAGCGTCCCGAGTAGGAGAGGTAGGGGGCAGGCATTGTTGTTTATTAGGTATGTTAAGTACTGCAGACTGACGGTTAGGGCGAGTAGCACGTCTCATGTGGGAATTTCGAACCACTAGGTCTGTCCCTTTATCTTTAGGACAATGTTTATGTATTACAAAAGTGCGATTGACCTGTGGTTTACATGTAGATGGGCTTTTGACTACGGGACAAGTTGCAGCACTTTTGTTCAGGGGACAGGTCTTCGGACTAATAGTCACTTTGGATCTGTTCTCCGTTTTAGGAGGGGTGGAGTTAGGTATAGTAGGGTTAATGTGACATTCGTGATTGTCGCTGCTACTAGTACACGAATCGACCGGCATAGTTGAAAGGCCATTGGTAATACGGCGTTGTATAGTAGTTCTATCCCTGATAATTCTAATCTTCTTAAACAAAGGAATGTGTCTAAGCAGTGACTGACTGTTAATAAAGTGATTGGCTTCGATGACAGTACTAAATTGAAGAAGAATGGGACAGGAAAATTTAGTCTGAATTTTACGAAGCCTGCGTGCTACACACCAAGAGCCGGACAATCCACACTCTTTAAGGAGAGTGTTTTTAACAGAATTGAGGCTAGCACTGTCAGGTACGTTATAAACAATGGCATTCTGCATGCACTGAAGTCTTTTTAACACTTCAGAGGATATGTGGTCAATTACTAAAGTCATCCGGAGTAATGAACATATCAGAAAGTGAACAGTCCAGATCAACAGTACTGGATTTCCTATGGCAAAAAGGCCTAGAGACATTTTTCGGATTGCTATGAATTTGATCCGCTTGCGGGCTCGTCAAATGTTTAAGACCAGCCACACTTTCTAACAAGTGCTCACAGGAATCTATTTCAGATGAAACACAAGAAGTAGTGGATGGTGTCGAGTCACTCGGAAGGAGGTGAGTTGTGTTTATATCAACGAGCGGGATACACGGTAAAGAGAAGTCGTTTACAAGTTCACGGTAAGATTCTATTAGGCCAGTGGATAGATCAGAATAAGATACAAATGGAGAACTGTTTTTGCGTTTGATTTTATCGAATTTAGTAGCTGATTTGGATCTTTTACAGATGTTATATTCGACAGGTGAAATCAAGTGTTTTTTAGATAAACGTGACATCTTTGTGGAATTATTTGTAAGCAGAGTTGTGTTACTATAGGCACAATGTCTGTTTGGAATTATGAAGCCAAAAACTACAGCGAAAATTACTAAAATAAGAATAACCGAGAGATGAGTTAATATGTACCGTTGAACTAGCGTAAAAAGATCGGAAAACGAAAAAGATAATACACGTGAAAAAAGGGCACTTCTCGGTTAATTAACTTAAACTACTAGGTATCAAGTCACTGTAAATAGATTGGCTTGCTTCATACCTAAATAATCACCAATTTATATTAAGGGCGAACCTTACAACTTCTCAGATAGCAGGATATTCCAGTGAGCTATCTCATGGTTTAGTACTAAGACCTCCAATCTTTCTAACTTTTAAAAATGTCTTTCCTCGACAGGTACTGTCCTAATTATCGGTTTTCTCCAGTTTTGTTGAACTTTGGGCAGAAGTGTGCAGCCATTTTGGTACGCTGGTACTTCGGAAGGATTTGAATTGACCTCAAGGATGAATGGATTACGAAGGACTTACATCTAATATCTCAAAGGGCTAGTTAGTTAACGGAAGACATGATACAGATTATGCGTTAAACTTGAATGACTTTTTTCCAGAAAGTTCTAGGATTTGGGAGTCTCGGTACGTATAGTTCGATGTATCACGCCGCGACAAAAACGCCTTTCCAGCAAACCTTTTACTGTTGATGTTAGAGGCTGTTTTCTGACAGTTTGACAGAATAGCGTTCCACACAATCATTGACAGCTTTATTTTGCCCTATTAAGAGGATAAAAGCATTATATTTCCCCCATTACTCCAAAAAGAACGAATACAGAAATGAGACACTATGTCGTTTTGAGAATTCAAAATCAAGCACTGAAAATAACCTGAAGTCAGTGAGTCCATATGCGTTAAAATTTAAACGACTTAGAAAAGACCCTTTTACAGTGTATAGCACCCTAAATGCCCTTGTACACCTTAAACACGACAGAGTGAAAGATTCTCTGCAGACGACAACCAATTTAACTTTTTGAAGTACCTATCTCACGGGTAATGGATAAAGTGATAAAAGATCAATTATCTGATCATTTTCTCAGGGAAGGTTTGATCGACCCCTCACAATATGGCTTCATAAGAACTAGGTCATGCATCACATGTCTCATAGATTTCTTAAATGAGGTAGCCAGCAGACGCGATCAAAAGCAACCAGTAATCGTGTTGTATTTTGTTACTTAGTCATGGCGGTAGCCGTATTGATTTTATCCTCTTTTGATTGGATTGGTTGCACTGACTAGAATCGTACATTTTTACTGTGTTATAAAGCAACCAAATATTATCTATCGAACGAATCTGATTTGATTAATTAAACAATTGTTGAAGGAATGACCGTGTTATTATTGTTTAGGTAATGATGTATATTTGTATTTATGATGAATATTAGAACCGTTACTTACCCAAATCACTTGTATTGGATTTAAAATAGGCAAGTCGAGTATCTAAACTACCTGGATAGTTATTCCTCAATCCAAACCTCAGTTTGGATCATACAAGACCTACGTCTATGTTAAGAACCTAAATGTGATCTATAAAGCTAAGAAACGTGACACAGGGACTTTGCGGGATAGTTTGGGTTTCTTGTGATCAGTAGTGGTTGAGTAGCATCTAGAGGCTTTTTAATCTGTCTCTATTTAAGAGTGCTATTAAAGTAAAGAAGATAGTGATGCGATTTAAAATATAACAGAAAATCCGAATGGTAGGGGTAGGAGCATAAAGGCTTAACGTCTCACTATTGGTTGGAGCAGGTGAATCATGTGCTAATCATTCAGTGTTACTTGCATGAATGGTGTCAGATAGTCGCTGTCTGACTGCACATTTTGTCAGTGAAAGGGGTTAAGACAGGGAACTTTAGTCATCACCAGTAACCTTATCTCTCACACCGTAAATATCGTAATATACAGTATTGTAACGAAAGCAACAAAAAGCAAACATAAAATCGTCACACTTCATCAGGAATCTCTTAAGACTATTTGGACAAACTTACAAAACTGCCTCAGAAGCGTGAACTTCACCACCTTCTTTACTGTTAATGCTGCTGACTAATTAACAAACATATTTTATTTCAACACTAAAAATATCTTCGATAGATTCGCACCCTAAGGATCCTGTAGACCCAGAATTTCTAAGGACTTTCATAAGCCAGATCATATACGAAAACACCTTCGGAGACATGCACAAGACTTCATAACATCAATGACTTTTCCTCATTAGTTATTATGACAGAAATATTTGTTGAGGCAGAGATAATACGTGCAATAGAGACAACTGCACAAAAAAGTCTTGATGTTGAACTGAGACCAGAGACTAACTTGATATGAAAAGAACCCTTGTCCAGACCATAGTTACACTTATTCGTAAAAATTTTCGATCTGTTAGGATAAGGAAACTAGCACTCATCGAATATGAATGTACTGCTAGAACTATCGATGAGGTAAATGAAATAATAGGAAGCTCAGAGGGCAAAACTCACATAAGAATATTTGGATCACATATATGGATGGACTTGTCTGAAAGTCAAAACTATAAGGATAAGCCATCCAAAAGCTGTAAACACTACTTTATGAGGGGTCAAATCAGTTCTTAGTTTAGTTATTTCGAATGTAGATGATTAAAAAGAAAATGGACCTGCTAAACGTCAGGTATATGATATGGAGTTGGTGGAATCTGCTATTTGATGTATACTGCCGGGTGGGGATTTATGAGTTAAGTAAATTCGGTAAGTGGGTTGGAGGCGAAAGACAAACAAAAATGGTCTTGAAGCTAGTACTCAGAAGTAATAATAAAAATAATAATGAGGAGAGGGAAGCATTAATAAATAACACACAGAAAATTAGCATTTCGAGTCCGACGTAATTGGCCACTTGAAGAAAGAATCAAATGAAAGAATGTTCGTACTGAATTGAAAAATAGAAAACTGAATGGGGAATAAACCTTCTAATTCAGGGTTTTCGGATAGTCACGTCTTGGAAATCAATGCTTCCGAGACCTGTTTAGGTAGAATTAGTGATTCTGAAAACACCTTAGCTGTGTGCTACACAAACGCTCGCAGTTTTAGTAATAAAACATCCGAGCCAAGTTTAACAATGGATGAATCAAGTCAATATTTTATTGGAATCATTAAATTATCACTGTTAGACGGCTAATGGAAACCTGAAAGCACAGGGTGACATTTTCGTTCTATGGTGAGACAGACGGTCTCGGGTTTGATTCCCTCTTGTGGGCGTCATGGGTGAGCACCACTAACTAGTTCCATACTAGGAATAAAAGACTGTCCAGTGCTTTGAGGTTTCCAATCGCGTTCTAACATTAATCGATTCATGATCACAATCTGGCATTCTCTATCTTGAGACGGTGGATAAGATTTGTAGCTCAGGTGGATGATTGTGGTGGTGGTCTTTGGTTCGAATTTCGAATGCTTCACTTCTGTCTGAAGTTTGTGCTGATGATGTTGTTCAGAAGAACAATGAAAGCTTCACAACCAAAACATCCAGCTCAGAGAACCAAACACCACCACCACAATTCTCTATCTTGAATTAAGATTCGGTCGTTAACATTTCGTATCTTTTAGCTCCCTCATGTGCTAATCATATCCGAGACCACTTCAAGAAGTTTGAAAAAACTCGATCGTATGAGTTCAGAGTGTGGTTTCGTTTTGATTTCCAGTAGACAATTACTGTGTTGCCTTATCGAAACAAGCGGTATCATCAACATCACTGAAACTGTACCGATAAACAACATTTTACATTGAGCCAATTGAAATAACGCTTACAAAACTTAGAGCGCCTAAATCAAGCGTATTTTGTTCTGCACGAAATGGCAAAGTCAAGTGCAAAGCCTCGCACAAATTTAACAGAAGAAGAACTTTATGAGATAGAAAAACAAGAGTTTGAAACTGGTCCTCTTTCTGTGCTTACAAATGCAGTTAAGAACAACACACAGGTAAGGTGCTTTTGGTAGAGTAAGTAGGCTTTCTAGTCACCAGTATTTTTGTTTTATTCCTAAAGTTTTGGGTAATGTTAATTCGTCAGTCACTTAAGACTATGTGAATAACAAGGCTTACCATTTTCGCCTGAAAAATGACATCCTAATGGTGGACCATCACGTAGAAAATGTATCCATTGTTGCCCAGTCTCTCGACTTTGGGTTCTCCTCAGTGTTATTAGCAGATTCGCAGTTCACTTCTGTGATTGAGTAGAAACTAGAGAACGATTTAAACGGTCTTTTCCCGGCGTAGAAGTAAACAACAGAACCGATGCAATGGGGTGTGTAATCACAATTTTTTATAGCCCTTTAACAAATATTGGGGCTTTGTCAATGTAGCTCAATGGGTTTCCACACAGTTATTTGAAATTCTAAGTTTCCCTTAGACGTTTTCGGTAAAAACTGCGAGTTGGGAGATTTTGCATTTTTATTCACATTTCCCCAAAGTCGGGAGACTAGGCGGTCTCTTTGGTGGCAACGGTTAACGAGGCAAATTACGATTACCGAAATTTTTAGGCATTTTGTAGTAGATCAAGCTTTATCTTCACATAACTGTAAGCTTTTCGGTGAATGCACTGTTATCTATCCACTAACGTTTTCAGTAGAATCCCAAGTCAACTTTGACTTTTCAGCCAGTAAATCTCAATTATACCAATTTGTGACTGTGCGAAATATTTTGTTTGTAGAATAGAATAAAGTATTGAAGAAGACTGTTGTGTTGATGTCATATCAGTGGGGGCAGTCTTGCATTCAGTCATTCTTCAGCCTAACTGATTTTAGCACTGACTAACGATGTACGGACATTGTGTCAAATAGGGCAACAGGCTTTATTGGCTAAACCTTTAGAATCTCGCTCTCGGAAATGCGCATACAGGATCCGAGTAGCATCATTCACTTGACCTAACCATTTCAAGATAAAGAAGCAGCTTGATTTACCCTTCGCGTATCCGGTAGCCCTGATGCTGCTTCCAGGGGCCTCGCTGGTGTAGGTATAGAATTGAGTCGTAGAACTGAACAATCTCTCCTTGACTGGATCCCAGTAGATAGTCGCTTGTGCGCTGTCCGACTAAACGGGACAGTAAGGACTCGGAAAGATAGGAACAATCGCCGTTGCCTCTTCATCGTATCTGTCTATGCCCCCACTGACTGCAGTTCAGACGAGGTTAAAGATGAGTTTTACAGAAAGCTTTCGGACCTCCTCCAAAACGTTAGGCGCTCCGATATAGTAATAATGGCTGGTCACTTTAATGCTCGAGTAAGTAGACTAAGTAAGCAGGAGAGACACCTGGGTGAATGTTATGGTGTGGCGGCTCAGAGAACAGACAATGGTGACCGTCTGTTGCAAGTATGCTCAGATAACCGCCTATTCTTAGCAAACACTAACTTTAGGCATAAGGAAAAGCATCTATTGACCTGGCGACCTCCAAAGTCGTCTCAACGTTGGACTCAACTAGATCACATCACCATCAGCCACCGATGGAGGGGTTCGATAGAGGACTGTCGCTCGTTCTGGGGCACATGTCTAGATTCAGATCATGTCCTAGTGCGAGCGCGTACTTGTTTGAAGCTTACTGGCCGTAGGAAAGACACCGTAAGAAAGCCTCTTAGGGTTTTACTTAATGATAATAAGGCGAAAAATATATTTCAGGAACAACTAGAAAGACAGTTAGGCGACCATTTAGGCGATTCCCATCCGGAAGCAGGATGGAATGATATCAAAAAGGCTGTGGGAACAGCAGTGATATCTGCTAGTAAGGTAAACCATAAGGCTAGAATGAAACCGTGGATCTCAGTAGCATCCACCGATCTGATGGATGCCCGAAAACTCATCCCACCTGGCTCTGAACATGATGAAGAACGAAGTCAACTTAGGCGCATACTTATAAAAAGCCTACGTAACGATCGCGAACAATGGTGGGTGGCGAAAGCAAATGCGATGGAAAAGGCAGCGGCGATCGGCAACAGTAGACAACTTTTCCGACTTATCAAGGAAACTGGTATTAGGAATCCTACTGTAAGTGAGACTATCTCAGAAAATGACGGGACTGTTATTTATTGTCAATCCAGGAGACCGGATCGATGGGCAGAACACTTTAGGGATCAGTTCAACTGACCTCGGGCCACTTCGGTTACCCACGATCTGAATGGCAAATTGACGTAATTCCCCCAAGTCCTAATGAAGTTGAAAAAGCGTTAGGAAATCTGAAGCGAGGTCGAGCTGCGGGTCCTAATAGACTGACCCCTGAGATATTTAAGGACGGTGGTCCAGTTTTAGCAACTAGGTTGACCGAGATCTTAGGTAGAATCTGGGAAATGGATGTAATCCCTTCCGACTGGTCTCAATCACTGATTGTCCCAATCTATAAGAAAGCACACAAGTCTTCTTGTGACAATCACAGGGGAATAAGTCTAACTAATATAGTTTCTAAATTGTTAGCCTCGATTATACTTAGACGTCTATCTTGAGCTCGTGAAGAGCAGACTCGAGAAAGCCAGGCTGGTTTTCGACCTGGACGTGGTTGTATAGACCACATCTTCACACTACGACAGGTCCTAGAACACAGACACATTTAGACGTCCCACAACAGTCGTGTTCCTGGACCTAAAAGCGGCATTTGACTCGGTGGGTCGTGAGGTTCTGTGTCAGTGTCTGTCATTGAAAGGTGTACCAAAGAAGTACATTAACCTTATACAAGCTCTACTCGAACACCACTGGTCGAGTGAGAGCATATGGCGAACTGTCACCGGAATTCTTCACTTCAAGTGGTCTCCGTCAGGGCTGTCTACTCTCTCCATTCTTGTTTAACTTTATTGTAGACATCCTCTTAGAGTTATCATCAAGCTCGTCAGATTTTTCAGGAGTTGACCTTCTACCAGGAAAATCGCTTACTGATCTACAATATGCCGATGACATAGTTCTATTCGGTGAAGACGCTGACAGAATGCAGAGTCTTCTGACTACCCTAAGCAACAATGCAAGCATGTTCGGGATGCGGTTTTCCCCTCGAAATGCAAAATGTTGCTTCAAGATTGGGTTTCATCGGCACGTGAACTAGTGATAGGGAGTGAAGTAGTCGAACGTGTAGACCGCTTCACTTATCTTGGGAGTCTCATCAGCGCTGATGGCCTGGTTTGTGACGAAATCTCAGCACGGATACAGAAGGCTCGATTGGCTTTTGCCAACCTGCGTCACTTATGGCATAGGCGTGATATCCGTTTGCTGACTAAGGGACGAGTGTACTGCGCAGTGGTTCGCTCCGTCTTACTTTATGGCTGTGAAACATGGCCAGTGAGAGTAGAAGATATTCGTAGGTTACTGGTTTTCGATCATAGGTGTCTTCGAAGCATTTCTCGTATATCGTGGGACACCCGAGTGAGTTATGCTGTTATTAGGAATCGGGTACTAGGTAAGCATGGCAGATCAATAGACGCAGTAGTGACACTTCATCATTTGAGGTGGTTGGGACATGTGTTGCGTATGCTCAACCACCGACTGCCTCGTCGAGTTTTGTTTTGTAGTGTAGGAATAGGTTGGAAGAAAGTTAGGGGCGGCCAGACCAAAACATGGCATAAATCCATGAAGCCATTGACAAGTGGACTTAGCCATGTCGGTAATTTTCGACTACCTGGTTGAAGTCAGCGAGATAATAATAATCGATGGCTAGAGACCTTGAATGACATGGCTCAAAATCGTTCGCAATGTCGCCGGTGCATTTATGCTTTGTGTTCTCTCAAATCCTAATCTTCTTGTTTCTTCAACAACTCTAGTTTTGACTTTCTAAACTTTTCTCACTGAATCCTGCTTCTTGAATAATATCTTCTAATCCTAACCTCTCTGAATACTTCTGATACCTTTACTACCTCTTCTACTATTGAATTTGAATTGACAATTACATCTCTGTGCTGATGTGGTATGGCGACATGAACTGATGTACTTACGTACGAAGTTCTACGTTGCATCCGACTGACTGACATCCAGGAATGGTAGACTGATGTTTGATTCCTTTTCCATTGTGAATTTTATGTTATTGAAGACGTTGTTGATCTGATTGTAGATGTTCTTCAGCTCGTTCCTTTTCGATAATGACAAATGTGTCGTCTACATAGTGAACACACATTTTTGTCTTGATCACTGGTAAAACCGACGCTTCTGGTCTGCGCATTACAGCTCCCGCGATGAGTCCTGATATTGGTGTTCCTTTTGTTTGTTCGTATACTCTGTTGTTGAATTGGAAATACGTTGTTAAGCATAGATCGATCAGTTCTAGCAGACGGTTGTGAAGTTTCGTATATTTTTTTCAGATTTGTGTCGTTGGTGAGGAGCAGGGATAGAGTTTCTTTAGCTAAGCTTGGCTCTATTGAGGTGAATAAGGCTGTTACGTCGAATGATATCATCAACCAGATGTTTCAATATCCTTGAAATAAACGCGGTGAACTCAGCCAACTGCTGCATTAAGTCTCCTACACAATTCTTGAATAAACTCAAGAGGATTCAAATCGACAACAACGAAATGATGATACCATTCGACGTAACAGCCTTATTGTTCGATGTCAATGTTTATAAAGTTTATTGTTGGGATAAAATTCCACCTCATTTGTGGTGCATTAATTATCATGTCCATGTTTATACTCAGTTAATATGACTAGATTGTAACGACCAGTCATAATAAACAGTTTTTATTTATATTATTTATCTTAGGTCTTAATCAATTGTCGAAATAATAAAAAACTCTTAGCTCGAGTCAAAGCATTCGATAGGCATTGTAATATGGTATTAGAAAATGTCAAAGAAATGTGGACTGAAGTGCCTCGACCAGGCAAAGGTAAAAAGAAATCGAAACCGGTGAACAAGGATAGATTTATCAGCAAATTATTCTTACGTGGTGATTCGGTGATTCTTGTATTGCGCAACCCTTTGGCTACTGCTGCAGCTGCTTCTAGACCATAAAAAATAACCTTGTATTCATACCATTAATACTGACATTGTGTTTTATAAATAAATTAAAGTTTTGGGCTAAGTCGCCCCCTATTTATGTAAATTATTTATTGTTTTTAAATGTGTTCAACCATTTTTTGATATGCTGACAACTATCAGTGTAGAAAGCTAACTAAAGACTACTTCTAGTGTTCTATGCGATTTAAGTTTAGATATTTAGTGAATCAACTCCCGAATTTCTCCGTAACTGTAATGAGACTAATTTGCTTAGTACAATTGTAATATATGCTACTTACGATAAGGCTTTTAAGTAGTATGCATCGGATAGGTAGCAGTGTTGTCCTGAAGTTGTTTCTGGATGCATGAAGCGGTCAGAATGTCTTCAGAAATCGAAGATAGCCACGAGTAAGCTTGTTTTGCAAATGGATATGTATACTTTTAGGCTAGTAGATTGTGCCTTCTTCAAATTAATTGCCCATCTGAACTGGTGTTTCCAACTTCGTCCATTATACAACCCACTCGACAGTAATACCAGTCAGAATATCTATCATTCTGTCTGCCTAGTTAGTTAACTAATCACTGTTTCCTCTCGCCCATTAAATAGTTAGTTGTTTTTTAGAGTTTATCAACTATAATTATACCAACAGATATAAGGCATAGTTCTTAAATTGTTGCAACTAATATTGTGGTGTGCTACTTGTACGAACGATATAAGTAGTATAAGAAGGGACGTGAAAGAAGAACTCTCACGGTCACTAGAGGAGAACGGAAAGCAAATGGAGCAAAAGCAAGAAGTAAATGGAGTACCGACAGGAAGTGAAGGAAGCAACAGCAGGAATGGAAGAAGGCTGGAACGTTGGAAGTCAGGACTCAAAGATGGTGTGCAAATAGAGTGTTCAATGTAATGTTTTCGTTTTTAATTGACTAAGAGTGTAAATTTGCTAAATACAATCTATCGAGCCTGCCTCAGTCTTCTCAATTGGTGTCGCTGCCTCTACACAGGATGAAGATACCATGGCCTCGGGAGTTTGAAGACGGAGATGTAAGGAGCTTCTTGAAGGAGTTCGAGGCCGTGGCGGAGCTGGTCGGAGTCAAGGAACGGAGGGCGAAGGCGGTGGTGCTGGGGACTCTACTAAGAGGCAGGGCGAGAGCGGTGTACGATAGTGTGGAGGACGCTGACTGGAAGGTGGTGACGGAAAGGCTGCTGGTGGAGTTCGACAGCCCGGCGGATAGGCAGGACGCGCTGCAGAAGTTCCGAGAGGCGCGACTGTCGGTGGATGGCGACCCACTCGTGCTGGCCGTGGAGTTGACAAGATTGCTGCGCCGGGGTCTGCCGAATTTGGATGAGGAGTCGCAAGCACAGCTGCTAGCCTCGCAATTCATTGGAAGTGTGCCTGCATAGGTTGGCCAACAGTTGAGACTGGTGAACGCGCCACAACCAATGGACGTCACCGAGCTGGCGAAAGTAACAAGACAACTGATGAACTCAACAGTCGCCTCGGTGGTGTATGAAAGACAGGCTGATGATGTCGTGAAGAAGATAAAAGAATTACAACGAGAGGTGGCAGCTTTACGAATAAAGGGTGAAAGAAATAATAAATGCTATATTTGCGGAGGAACCGGACATTGGAAGAGGAATTGCCCAACAAGACGAAAACGTAAACATTTTAGACCATATACAAGGTGTTCTTTATGTCTTTCGAAACTGGGGGTCGCGGCAGTAGTAGATAGGGGGGCGGTCTATGCGAGAGTAGGGATAAACGAGCGAGAGGTAGTGTGCCTGATTGATACAGGGGCGGCAGTTTCGTTAATAGACAAAGAGCGGTGTAGAAGTATCAGGCCGAGTGCATTAGTTGTTAACACCATCGGAGGCCACGTGTTAAAAATCCTAGGAGTCTCAAATGATATCGTGAAAATCGGCAGTTCGGAAATACAGTTTCCCTTTGTGGTAACTACGAACTTGTCGAGACCAATACTAGGAGCAGATTTCTTGAGAGAAGTAGGAGCAATTATTGATACAAGAAGTAAGAAGGTGATTACAAAGTACGGCACACTGACAATACATGAAAGCAGCGAGGTGGCTGAGGTTAGAGTAGCAAAAGAGGACATTGGAAAGAAACAGAACATTAACGAGGTGCTCACGAAATATACGAAGTTGTTCACGGGAGACGGAGAACCGTACGGGTTTTGTAATAAAGTTAAACATGAAATTCCGATAAAGAACGAAGAAGTGACCATCTTCACAACACGACGGGTCCCCGTACATTTGGAAGCTGAGATAAACCAGCAGGTACAGGAGATGTTAAAGGCAGGTATAATTGAAGAAGCAGATAGCCCGTACAGCTCGCCGGTACTTTTGGTAAAGAAGCCAAATGGAAAGTATAGATTCTGTGTTGACTTTAGAGAACTGAATAACGTGACAGAAATAAAACCATGTGCAATGCCAACAATAGCGGAGACATTAGATCGTCTACAGAGTGCTACGGTGTTCACAGTGTTAGATTTACGGTTGGGCTATTGGCAGCTACCAATAAAAGACAGTGATCGCAGCAAAACGGCATTTATCGTACGGGAGAAGCAGTATCAATTTAAACGAATGCCCTTTGGATTGGCGGGCGCACCGTTTACGTTTCGAAGACTAATGACATTGCTGCTCAGAAACCTGGAGAATGTCGAGGTTTATGGCGATGATTTGGTCGTATATAGTCGTACAGAGGCAGAACATGTGAGGCACGTGGAGGCGGTCCTAAGGCGAATTGATGAGTTTGGTTTACGAATTAACAAAGACAAGTCTGAGAAAGCGAAAAGAAGCGTCACGTTGCTGGGGCATAAAGTAGGCAATGGAGAAATAAGACCACTGCCGGAGAAGATTCTAACGATGAAGAATATTGCAGTTCCCAACTCAAAAAGGAAGTTAAGACAGTTCCTGGGAAGAGCGGCGTTCTACAGCAGATTCGTGAAGAACTTCAACGATATAGCAGCACCTCTATATAAAGTGCTAAGCAATGCGAAGTTTACGTGGACAGAGACCGCTCAACAAACTTTCGACCGAATCAAAGAGCTGTTAGATGACCGCCAAATGACGCTGAGACTGCCGGAACCCGAGAAGCCATTTACAGTGACCACTGATGCGAGCGATCACGGTATAGGTGCGGTCTTGAGGCAGTCTGACAGAGTGGTGGAGTATGCCAGCCGTGTCCTTACGCCGGCGGAACTGAAGTACTCCACAGTAGAAAAAGAGTGTTTAGCGATTGTATGGGCGGTAGACAAATGGAGACCGTATCTACTGGGTCGGCGATTTCACATCGAGACGGATCATAAGCCCCTGCAATGGTTGAAAACAGCAAAAGACCCGCGGGGGAAGTTGGCTCGATGGATGCTACGTCTGCAGGAGTATGATTTTAGCATCGGGCATGTGCCAGGGGAGGAAAATGTAATGGCAGATTATTTGTCAAGACCGGACACCGAAGCCGAACTTCCAGAGATAGCGTGTGCAGTTAACGGCCTAGAGGGAGATCCCCTAGAACTCGTCCGACATCAGAAAGCCGACCCTAACCTTCGAGAGGTAATCAGAGTGATAAAAGAGGGAGAAGATGTCGACAAGAGTGGAACAGACAAAGAATTAACAGTGTTGCTGAGGCAGAAGGAGAGACTGAGAGTGAACGGATACGGAGCCTTGACCTGGCGGGATGATGACGAGAATTGGATAGCAATAATCCCAAAAGATCTGCGCCAGGAGATGATTCGTGAATGTCACCAGGTAGCGCACACAGGTATTGCACGGACAACTGATTTGCTGCGACAAAGTGCGTACTGGCCAGGTATGAGAGACGATGTTGCACGATATGTGTTAGCGTGCCAGCGATGTCAACTAATGAAAGGGGATCGATGCATACGACCGCCATTGCAGTCAATTCCAGTAACAGCAGTTGGTGATTTGTGGTCAGTAGATGTTATGGGACCGTTCCCGCAGACGACAAGTGGTAACCAGTACCTGCTGGTGATGACTGAGCATGCCACACGATGGGTAAATGCCGTGCCGATGGCGGACCAACGTGCAAGGACGGTGACGGAAGCGGTAATGCGGCACATTGTGGCGGACCATGGAATACCAAAGATAATATTAACCGATCAAGGTCTCTGTTTCGAGAGTGATGAGTTCAAGTCCCGTCTAAAACAGTTAGGTATTAAAAGAGTACGAACAACGCCGTATCATCCACAGACGAACGAGTTAACGGAAAGGAATAACCGAACGCTAAAGGAATGGCTAGCATCTAAAGGGGGTGACTGGGAGAAAGAATTACCATTAATCTTGCTGGCACATCGTGCCTCGGCACAGGGAACAACCAGGAAGTCACCGTTCCAGCTGATGTATGGCAGACGGCCGAGACTACCAACGCATGATAAAACCTGGCCGCAACAACAGAGATGGAATACAACAAGGTTGAGAACAGAGCGGAGACAAGCAATCAGGAATGTGAGAGAGAAACAAACATCAGACATGGAGAAGTCAGAACAGGAAAGAAATAACTGGAGACCGTTTGAAGTGGGAGACCAAGTGAAGTGTAGAGAACGGAAATATACCACAGGAAGAGGGCCAGGGTCAGGTAAGCTGATCCCGAAGTGGGAGGGACCGTACGTCGTCACCGAGAGGCGCGGCGCAGTGTATACGATTCAGAAAGGAAACAAACAGAAACGCGTGAATGCCAGTGAACTCCAAAGGTGGTTCCAAGTGCGCCAAGAGGGCGAGCCACAAACACTGATAAAGAAGACGGCTGTACGGCGATCGGAAAGGCTGAGAGAGCGACTTGTTAAAGGGGAGACGAGTGTGGTGTGTGCTACTTATACGAACGATATAAGTAGTATAAGAAGGGACGTGAAAGAAGAACTCTCACGGTCACTAGAGGAAAACGGAAAGCAAATGGAGCAAAAGCAAGAAGTAAATGGAGTACCAACAGGAAGGGAAGGAAGCAACAGCAGGAATGGAAGAAGGCTGGAGCGTTGGAAGTCAGGACTCAAAGATGGTGTGCAAATAGAGTGTTCAATGTAATGTTTTCGTTTCAATTGACTATCGAGCCTGTCTCAGTCTTCTCAATATTATCATCATAATGCTGACCGTAGATTAGTGTCGGTTATTGAGACCTGGAAGCGTGGCCGCAGAGCCCAAGGGACAACTGCTTGAGGTCAGTCGCGCGCGGCCTTTTTATGAAAGCTTTATTGAGTAGTAGCTCCGTTCTTAAAAGCCCTTAATGGGCACCCTTACCGACGGAGAGGGAAATCCGTGAGGTAGGGTGAGGTGTGACAACTTTAGGATGGACCTTTTCTAACCCTTCCTTCCTTATGAGAAGGCAGCATCGCTGCAGATGCTGGTTGTCCGAGGGAAACCCCTTATTGCTGTCACACCTCTCTACAGTCAGCAGTACGACTTCGCCCTCAGACCTTGAGTAGCTGTTTTTAGTCTCATCGTTCTCCAATCGACCTGCCTGGCATGGTAGAACCTTCAGGAACATATTTTCCAGCCAATATAGCTTAGTTGGGTCATGACGATAGTCAAGCCCGACCACCAGGTCAAGGTAGCAGCTACGGTCCTAACCTCTCCAACTACTGCTAATACTTTTACTACTATTGAATTTGAATTGACAATTACATCTCCTCTGTGCTAACGTGGTATGGCAACATGAACTGATGTACGTACGTACGTACGAAGTTCTACGTTGCTATTGATTGATCGATCGATCGAATGCTGACTGTAACTACTGTCAGTAAATCAGCTAGCTACTTATGATGCGTTAGTCCAACCAACCATCAACAGTCCAAACCAAGTTAGAAAGAATATCAACAGATATGAGTGTGAAGATGTTTATTTCGTCTATAGTTATGAATAATAAATCTCTTTTTTATTATATCAAGCAATGTGTGTCAATGTTCATTATTATTATTATTAATATCATTATTATCATGATTCGTTAAATTTAGTAGTTTTATTGTACTCAAAATTTTGGCGAAGCATTTGAATTCTTATTACTTTTTGTAACTTTAAAAAATAGAACACGATCTCCATTTTATAAATCTGATTGTGTATTACACTTTACCATGAAAGAAGTGATTTAAGCTTGTTTCAAGTGGATATTCGACAATGATGACTTTGTTATCAAATCAGTGTTCTCGTTGTTATTATTTTCTGTTTGTTTGTTTGTGTGAGTCAGTTCAGATCAGATCAGAAAAATAAGTTGTAAGTAAGTAATCATTAGATCGGTCAGTGATCAACAGCGTCAGTTTGCATGTTGTTGTAGTTTCTTTTCAGGTTTTCATTCTTCTCATTCTTCATTGAATTTTTACTGCTACTGTTTGTTATAATCAATTATTGAAAAAAAGTACAAAACACAAAAAAACAAAACACACAATGACACAAGACATGGAATAAATAACCATTGGAAATTCAAAACACTGGTTCCCTTTGATAAATTTGAATAGAGAAAGAAAACACAGAAAGTTAGAGAGAGAGAGAGAGAGATAAGAATAGAAAAACAAACCCAAAGCCGAAATAAATAAAGGCGAACAGCATAGATATGTACATTTAAAGATCGTGGTGTTATGTGCTGGCTTCGTTTACATTGATATTTGAATGAGTACAAATCACATATGTACACATACACATACACGCACACACACACACACGCATACATTGGGGATCGTATGTAACACAGTCAAAAGTTAAAACTGTTACAAAATAAAACAAAACAAAATGCATCTGACACACCAAACTACCAGCATATAAAAGAAAAGACAACAGCACAGTAAAGACAAAATCTGATGACGTTGAAAGGAGGACAACACAATGTTGTCGGTGTTATATATGTCTATCTATCTGTATGACATGTGCAAAGAAAGGGCTGACAACATTGAACTACTGATGAGAAGAAAGAGTAGTAGTATTAGTAGTAGTAATAAGACAATCAATGTTCAAAGATAATATTTACTTATTATGGGTGAAAAAGAGTAGTTTAGTATACACATTTTGAAGTGTAAATTTTTTTCTCTCTTGTAATAGACAAACAACAAATAATATTGTCAGCGTTACTATTATTATTATTATTATAATTGTGCAGTTTCGTATCGTCGCATTGATTGATATCTTGCTATTTTTAAGCAAATGTTGCCAGTGGCATAGTACTAGGTCGTTTTGGTGATGTCGGCTGTTGCTGCTGCTGCTGTTGTGAAGATGTATTTGAAGAAGTTGACATCGACGATTTGTTACGATCGTCGTCACTACTACTACTGTCTAATGGAACAACAGTATGAGTAGATGTTGATAAATTTGTATGGTGGTTATCTGATGAGGTCGCCTCTGTTGCTGCTACTTGTCCGTTGGATTCGACATTCACTGAGGGTATACTATTACTACTACTGTCATTATTATTATTATTATTGTCGCTGCCAACATTACTGTTCAGTGGAATGGATGATGTTGAACTGCAGCAGCGATTTGGACAATCAGTTATTGTTGTTGCCGTCGTCGAGAGTTCATCAGTAGTAGTAGTTGTTGTAGAGCGAGCAGAGAAAACCATCAATGGATCAATAGCATTGTACTGTTGTTGTTGTTGTTGATGATCTGGAAAAGTAGTAGTTCTATTGTTGTTAGTGTAATTACTCTCGATTAATGATAATGATGATGAATATGGCGGTACTAGTCTTGTAGTTTCTGTTGGTGATGACGGTGTCGATGCTGGCAATGATAATTCAAGGAATCGTTCACGTTTAAATACACTCAATGTACCTTTTGCTTTATTTTCATTTAAACTAAACAAAGAAAAAGAAAAAAAGTGTTCGGAATTAATCATAGTCAATGTATAACCTGATATAATTAAAAAAGGAAAGTTAGCTTAAATTGCTGTACAAATTTAACCAAGATAAAATGAAAATTATATATTAAAAAAAAGGAGTTGATGAGAAAGTCTAAAATATTGAGAACATACAAGGTACAGTCAGTCAGTCAGTTGCAACGTAGAACTTCGTACGTATGTACATAAGTTCAGGTTGCCATACCACACTACATTAGCACAAAGAGACGGAAATGTCAAATCAAATACCATAGTGATAAACGTAGTAGAGGGAATTAATGGTAATGAAGAAGACTAGCGGGTTTGAAGATATTATTCAAGAAGTATAATTCAGTGAGATAAGGTTAGAAAGACAAAGGTAGAGGTGCTGATGATTCCAGACGATTAAGATTTTAGAGAACTCAAAAAGTTGGTGCAACTGCGCCATTGCAAATGATTTTGAGCCATGTCGTTCAAGGTCTCTAACCATTGGTGACTTTCGTCTCGCGGACCCCCACCACGTAGTCTACATCTACCAACATGACTCAGTACATTTGTCAGTGACTTCATGCATTTCTGCCATGTATTTGTTTGGCCTACCCTAGCGTTCTTTCAACCTACTCCTACACCACAAAACATAGCTCCTCGAGGTAGTCGGTGGTTAAGCATTCGTAACACATGTCCCAACCACCTCAACTGATGAAGTTTCACCAGTTCATCTATTGATCTGCCATCCTTACCTAGTACTCGTTTCCTAACGAAAGCATTGCTTACTCTTTTGCTGTACCATTTCACCAAAGTAAAATGGAACAATAAAAGCTTCACAACTAAAACATCCAGCTCAGAGAACGAAACTTCACCACAATCATCCAAATGAGCTACAGATTTTCTCTACCATATCTTCAACCATTGCGTTTCAGGCTATCTATACCGGTTGACAATTAGATATTCTGGCAAAGTTATCAAGGTCATGAAATTAGTCAGTTAGTTACAATTTAGAACTTGGTATATGAGTACCTACATCAGTTCAGGTTTTCATAATACATTACCACACAGATATGACATTATCATTCCAGATCCCCATTGTAAGAGTATTGTTGGTAATAAAAAAGATTGTGGATCGAAGATAAAAATCAAGAACTTGTGAGTTTAAGAAAGGAAAGCTACAAGCACTTCAGAAGATTAGAATTTGAGAAAACCCCAAAGATAGATGCATCTGTTCCATGGCAAGTGATTTTGAACCATGTGATTCAAGGTCTCTAAACATCGGTTACCATCATCGTCAATCAGGTAGCCTACATCTACCAACATGACTCAGTTCACTTGTCAGTGATTTCATAGATTTGTGTTATATTTTAGTTTGGCCTACCCTAGCGTTCTTTCAACCTACTCCTACACCACAAAACATAACTCCTCGTAGCAGTCAATGTCCTAACCACCTCACAACTGATCAAGTTTCAATACTTCATCTATTGATTTGCCATTTTTTACCTTGTATCCGTTACCTAACCAACAGTATGGCCTACTCGATTTTTCCAAGGATATACGACTAATGCTTCGAAGACACCATGAGTTAGTTATTCACTCACTCACTCACTACTTGTATATGGTAGAAGAACTATAATGAACAAAACTGAGATTATGCATATATATATATAGAGAGAGATTAAATCACTTGATTAATCTATGCAGCTTCATAATACACTGAAGAATTTATAAAATTGCGGCAAGAATGATCAAACAAATATATAAATATATACATCATTAGTTCATGAAATCATTGACTGTTTGTTGTCTAAGCCAGCCGGTTAGTTAGTTGCCAAAAAATATGATTTATAATTAATTATTAAAGTTATATCCGGTTCTGTGTTTTGTTCAAAGTAAGTTATTTCATATAACAATTCAGTTTTTTTGGCATTTTCTTTTTATCTTGAATAAATTTGTTATTACACTGGTTTCTACCTGAAAGACGGCCAATTTGTCCTGCTATGTCACTACTCATCAGTGGCAGCGTGCATTCACGACTCTTCTGGCTACTAGCAGGATCCAAACACAGGACCGTCGGTCTTGCGCACCAATGTCTAATCTTTGGACCACTAGGTTGGCATCCAACAGGATTAATGTCTAACTCCCAATAAATCATCTAAGGTTCTGCGCAACCTCATCGATTGTCTTTGGTAGGTAACTGCTTACACACCTGTGAAAGTATTCATCCAATATCATAAGAGAATTATTTGTCAATTCCTATTGGTTAATTTCTACTGGTCAATTTTATTGTCGTCCTAGATATCAATGTCACTTAAAATGTTGTTTCCTATTGGTCGTCTTAACTGTCAATGTCACAGACTTTAATGCTGTTTCCCATTTGACCAAATACGCATTATCTGTAACGTTTTATGGACCGGACGCGGATCCCTAGTCCGGGATTCTGATTCTCTTCTGGACTCGGACCTCGTACTTTCTGGATGCTTGTAGAATACAGGTTTTACTTCATCTCAAGCCTTCTTCTTTCACTCAACGAAGGTTGGGACAATCGGATTAGAGTAGCATGTCGTGTCGCCGGATCCTTGCTCTCACTTTCCGACTAAGGTAAACTCCCAATCGTTCAAGCATATCAATTTGACATGTTTACGTGCATGCGTAACAACACCCGACAGGATTGAACTACACTGGTCATTGCTGATGAGTAGTCGTCCCATACCAGGATGAAATAATGAACGGCAAGTCTTTCAGTGATGATCTAACAACAATCACTGATTCATGATTTCAGAAAAATTACAAATGAACAAACAAACACACAAAATTAATTCAACTTACTAATCATAAATAATTCCATCCACACCTAATTGTGTAAGTAACATACGTTTTTCCGGTGTATTGACAGCTTCACCCCATGCTAATACAACTAGTTTATGTGCATGTGCTAATTCAATAATTCCTGGTACATTTAATACACGATCACTTTCTAAACAAACTCCCTGTTTTGTTTTTTTAAAGAAAAAAAGGTTGATAATGATGATGGTGATGAATACGAGTAAGTGTGTGGGAAAGAAAATAGTGAGAGAGAGAAAAAGGAAATTAAAAGTCTTATTTAATTAGATATGAATATATATATATATATGTATACACACGTAGTTAACACATTTTTTAAAACCATGAATCGATCAAGAAGAAACCTGGAAGCACTGAAAGACGGCCGTTTCGTCCTGGTATGGGACTCCGTGAATTTGATCAAGTTAGACATTAACACCGTTAGATACCGGCTCAGTGGACCGATAGTTAGGCGTTCGCGCACAATACCGAAGGTCCTGGGTTCGAATCCTACGGGGTGCAGGGGTCGTGGGTGCGCACTGCCGAGGAGTCCCATGCCAGGACGAAACGGCCGTCATTGAGTGCTTCCAGGTTTCTTCTAATGGTGTGGTCTAACATTGATCGATTCATGGTTTCAAAAAAAATGTGTAACTTAACAATCTTCACAACCCCGTAGTGCAAATACACATATTTGTCATCACTGGATTGGCTGAAGTTAGACATTAACATCTAGAGATTAAGCGTTCTCGCGCGCGTCCTGCCTGAGTTTTGATTCCGACAAGAGAGCGGGGCGTGGATTCGCATTGCTGATGAGTTTGTCCCATTCTACTAGCACGAAACGGTCATCTTTCAGTACGTCCAGGTTTCTAATAGTGGTCAAATCATGATCAATTCATGATTTCATTGAATATGTTATATTTTTCGACAAAGAACTTAACTAAGGTTTTGAAAAGTGAATGGAATTTGTTGGGGATGTTAGATCTACAGAACTCGCTTGATAAATATCTTTATTTTGGATTTATTTCATGGACCGATGAGTTGACTTTGAGATCACATTTCCCACCAGGAAAATCCTTCGTCGCGATTAGTTATTGTGTCATTTTAGTTGTGCTATTTTTGTGACTGTCCCAAGGACATCTCTATGGAGTATAAATAAACGCAGTTTGAGTGCTTGGATTCATTGTGTGGTGCTGGCTGGGTGTTTGTAGAATACAATTTCTACACTATAACAAGACTTGTTGCTGGTACAATTGGGTCAAGGCATCACAGTAGCCTACCTGGACGCTGGTTCATTTTTTTTTATCTCGTTATTCGTCTAAGGTGAACCCGTGATATTTTAAGCGTACCTAGAGACGAACGTATCAGAATTGTGCCAATAAGATCGACTGTGAGATGGTGGAGAAAACTTGTAGCTCAGGTGGATGATTGTGGTGGTGTTTCGTTCTCTGACCTGGTTGTTTTGGTTGTGGAGCTTTCATTGTTCTTCTGAACAATATCATCAGCACAAACTTCAGATAGAAGACTTCTATCAGACGAAACACCACCACAAGATCGACTGTATTTATGGTCATTAGAGTTAGAACGATTGTATCTGTCTGTAGCTAGTTGGAGACATTTCAGCGTTTATAGTAGAGTGAATAACAATGTCACCTGTTTTCGTCAAATCTCGATTAGTATGACCTATGGACAATAGGAGTTTTGATATGCTATTGGGAATTACACCATTAGACCGATCACTTTTTGGATTGGACGATGGATGTATAAACAACCTCTACTAAGTGATGAAGCCGTAAACTTACGACAAATGACATTTGAAATCATTAATCAATCATTATTGTTAGACCACCATTAGAAACCTGGAAGCACTGGACGGCCGTTTCGTCCTAGTATGGGACTCCTCAGCAGTGCGCATCCACGACTCCTGCTCCTCGCAGGATTCGAACCCGGGACCTTTGGCATTGTGATGATGATTGATTAATGATTTCAAATGTGTAAAAACGCAAACCTCCAAAACTGTGCCACAAATGACATTGTAGTACCGTTTACGCACATATCTATATATATATGTATGTCATCATAGGTCAAGTGGACTACAGTATAATTACAGACAAATGGAGATAGAGAAACATTTTTATATTATGAAAAATAGACATAGATGAAAGAAAGGTTAAGATTATGAAATACTGAATAACCACAATTTACATAACCAATCATGTTATCAATTAAACATGAAAAGGTCAAATAAGTTCATACAACAATCTATCATATATCAATCAATTTTTTTATACAAATTAAAACAAATAGTTATTCAATTTCCAATGTTGTATTGAATATGGAAGGAAATATGCAGGGTCAATCAAGTTTCTTTAATATGTCAATTACAATTAGTGTTGTTAGTTTTGTGAAAGAGGTTAAGATGAAAATCTATCGATTGTTTTCAACGAAGTCACTTAAAAAAAATGAAGAGTCATTGTTCAATTAGATAACATTGGTTACCGAAAACAGTAAAGGAACTTTATACATTTCTTGCATCTTTGATATAATATGAATAGTAAAGTTATGTAAATTAATTATTTTAAAACTGTGCCATACAATTAACTGTTTTGTAACTTGAAACCAGTGGGAAACTTATCCCCTGACCGTGTACCGTTAGGTTCTAGGGGTGAAATCGTACTACCGACTGTAGAGAAGAGGTGTGACAGCAAGCAGTAAGGTGTTTCCCTCGGACAACCAGCATCTGCAGCGATGCTGTCTTCTCACAAGTAAGGAAGGTTTAGCAAAGGTCGACCCTAAAAATGTCACACCTCACCTTACCTTGCGGATTTTAGTCTCCTGCAGTAAGGCAATTTGAAGAGCGGAGTTAACACGACGAAAATTTCCCATACAAAGGCCGTGCAGAAACGGCCTCAAGCAGTTGTCCCTTGGGCTCTGCAGTCACGCTCCCAGGTCTATTAGACCAACACTAATTCAACTCCCTTACCAGGTTCCTCAAGAAATACCCACGGTGTGGGTAGCCCGGAAGCGACGTACGCCCTCATTCATACTATGCGTAACAGCATACGCGACTAGGGAAACTTATCCCATTAATTAAATATTATTAAAAAATGAAATGTTTTTTTCTTTCGATGATGTAATCCATTGTAAGATCAAAAATGACAACTTACCAACAATTGATGACTTAATGCAGACCAAAATAAATGTTCAAAATCAGTATGTCGTGTATCTGCATAGTCTGGATAGATTCCAAGTTGAAAAACAGGATAAATTTGTTGTTTTAATTGAAGCCTGTGATGGCGGGCGATTTGTTTTTTTTGAGGTTAAGGAGTACAAAATAGAACGGGAGAGTAGTAAATAAGATGAAATGAATGATAATATGTAAAGCTAAAAATTCATTTAACTAATGAAGGCTCAGTGGTTCAGAGGTTAGGCGTTCGCGTGCAAGACCGACAACTCCTGTGAGAAGCAACAGGAGTTGTGATTGCGCACTGCCACCGCTGGTGAGTAGTCCCATTTCAGGCAGGACGAGAGGACAGTCTTTCAGTGCTTTCAGGTGTCTGTTGGTGGTGGTCTGACATTGATAGCGCCGATGCATACATTCTTCCTGTTTTCTAAAATCCCCTTTATCTTTCTCTTTTTATGTTTATTTCCCTGATATTATGTTAGTTACCTACTTTCTTTCACCTGTTACCCCCCAATGTAGCATAGACCGCCGATCAGTATTCTCAAGCCTACTTCTGTCCTGTTCTCGAGATTATACTTCTTGACTAATGCCTTCGAACACTGATCTCTCCGATTACACAGCTAATACTTCTACTACATCGACCATTATGGAATTTGAATTGACAATTTGACGTCTTTGTGGTATGTCAACATGAACTGATATGTACGTACGTACGTAAGTACGTACGAAGTTCTACATTTTAACTGACTGACTGATTGAACATAGATTTGAATAAAATAGCTCAACAATCTCCATCCAAAACCCTATCATACTAATAATAAAGTATAGGACCAGACAAAAAAACACTGTTTAACTTACATTACGCATACATTTGGATCGAAACATGATAATAAAATACGTCGTTTACCAGCATATGTTAAAATTTCACGTAGAATAGTATCAATATAAAAATTGTATTCAAAGAAATGATCCATTTCTGAACCACCATCCTGTGCATGGGGGGCGGGGGGGGGGAGAGAAAAAAAAGACAGTCAAGGATTAAATAAAAAAAAGGCATCTTTGATTTCTTGATGTGCTGTACGATCTGTATATATTTGTAACCGTTTAGTTTGAATAGTTAGACAGAGTGATGGCGTAGTGGTTTAAGGTGTTCGACTTTCAACCAATCAGTGCTAGGTTCGAACTCTGCTACATCTAGTTTGGTTTGAGTAATCGGATACTCTTTTGATGAGAGTATGACTCATACCCATGTCACTCATCAAAAACTGACAGCAGCAACGTACATAGCAGAAATCAATGAAGTCATTGACGAGTGGACTGTGGCTGTCGACTACCTGGTTGGGGTTCGCGAGATGATAATAATCGATGGTTAGAGACCTTGAATGACATGGCTTAAAATCGTTCGCAATGGCGCTGGTGCATTTATGCTTTGTGTTCTCTCAAGCCCTAATCTTCTGGATTCTTCAACACCTCTAGTTTTCACTTTCTAAACTTATATCACTGAATCATACTTCTTGAATAATATCTTCTAATCCTAAACTCTCTGAATACTTCTGATACCTTTACTACCTCTTATACTATTATGGGATTTGAATTGACAATTATATCTCTGTGCTAATGTGGTATGGCAACATGAACTGATGTATTCAAAGAAATAATCCTTTTCAGAGCCACCATCCTGCGCATGGGTGGCGGGGCGAGAGAAAAAAATTACAGTCAAGGATTAAATAAAAAAAAAAGGGATTGCTAATTTACTGGTATGCGGTAGGATCCAAATATAATTGTACTCGATTAATTTGAATAATTAGTTAGATAAAAGAGTACTAGCTTAGTGGTTTAAGGTGTTCAATTTTCAATCAATCAATGCCAAGTTTGAACTCTATTCCACCTTATTTGGTTTTGAATTACCGGATACTATCATGGACTCTTATACTTAGACTGTGATTCATACACACACACACACGGGTACTTGGTGAATGAGTTAGTTCAACTTGAAAACAACTTCTATATGAAAAAATTTAGTTTGTACCAAGGTTAAAAGATTACAAATCAGGCTAAACCGATATGCTTGTTCAATAATATCGTTTAATAATCTGAAACCACACACACACACACACAAAAAAAACGAAATATATTTTATTCAGACATCAAGAATATTGACACAGTGGATTCTTTCGAATTAATTTAATAAAAAGAGTGCATAGTTGTAGTACATGTTAAAAATTTATGGAAAGCTATCAATTTCCCAATGATAGTAAATAAGTACATACACACACACACGCACACACTCCGAACGAATGGGAATAATGAAAGGCGAATTCCATTTGTGCGACGTTGGTAAAATGAAGAAGCCGAAAATATGGTTTAACGAATGAATTGATTTCATGCATTCAATTGAGCAGATAAACATGAGAATATGAAGTGTGAAGGCACAAAGTGAAGTAAAGTGAAGTAGAGAAGGCCGGAGAGCCAGCTCAATGTGATGAGGTATGACAAAGTAGTTATAGCCACGTAAAAGTAAGCTAGGCATGTAGTAGTAGTAGACGGCGGAGTAAGAGTGCACACGCACACACACACTCAAATAAAAGCAACCAAGACAGTGAGTGAATAACAGACAACGTCGAAAGGTGTGTGAAGCATGACACGAACAGAAAAGGCGAATTAGTTCATTCAAAAGGATGGGGGGACAAGCCCGATGGGTTCAACATATTAGTACATACACACACTACAAAGGCGATTCAATGAAAATTTACTTAAGCTCTATATATAGTTGTCGTATTTATTATATTTTCGGGCAGAGTTTTGGAGGTTTGTGTTTTTTTTACACATTTGAAATTATCAGTCAATCATTGTTAGACCACCACCATTAGAAGAAACCTGGAAGCACTGGACGGCTGTTTTGTCCTGGTATGGGACTCATCAGCAGTCCGATGCTTCGGCGTTCGCCTACAATACCAAAAGTCCTGGGTTCAAATCCTGCGAGGTGCAGGAGTCATGGACGCGCGCTGCTGATGAGTAGTCCCATACCACGACGAAACGGCTGTCTTTCAGTGCTTCCAGGTTTCTTCTAATGATGGTGGTCTAACAATGATTGATTGATGATTTCAAATGTGTATTTATTATAGTTGATTTTAATTGATAAAATGGTAGTTCATGGTAAAAAGAATAAATAGAATGGGGCTACTACTACTACTATTCACCAATTCGAGCCTTATCTTTGTGAAGAAAAACAGTATGTTCAGTTAGTTAATCAGTCAATCAATTTTCCATAATCTTAGCTTTCTCTTCTATATTTTTCCATAAACAAAAACTATCTTATCAAGGAAGGCCCAGGGAAAGAGCCGCCTATGCTCCATTGGATATAACAGCCATAAGTAAGCAAAGTAAGTACTATTTTATCAAATAAAACTATTGAAAAGCGAATCTTCTTTACTGAATTGCCTTCATTCTATTTTAATGATACTATTATTTCGTCTTGTTTGTTACCTGAATACTAATAAATATTAAAAAACAAACTCAAAGATCTTTTTTGGTTACCCATCTAATTTATGACTAATATATTTTCAATGAAATTAGGTCACATGTACAAAAGAAAGCGATGGATAGTGGCTAGTAGTAGTGCAATCGAGGATCTTCGTTTCTTTCTCTTTGGGACTGGATGTGCCTGCATCCTAGAGTTGATGTTCACTGCGATATTTGAACCCAGTATTGTTCACTTCAAGCGTCATCGTGTTATCAACTTAGCTAGTGAGCCAAACTACCAACTGTCTCGAAAAGGGATGTTATTTGGCGTAAGAGTAGGCTGTAAGAAAGTCAGCGATGGCCAAATCAAAACATGACAACAGTCTATAACGTTATTGGCAATTGAAGTGAGTCATGTTATAGTAAGTGTAGAATATCTGAGACAATAGTAACCGATGGTTAGAGACTTTGAATGATATGTCTTAAAATCGTTTGCTATGGCGCAGATGCATCCATTTTTTGTCTTCTCATGAAATTCTAATCTTCTGAATTCATCATCACCTTTGAATTAAAAAAATTACGCGTGATGTGTAATGTGGTTTTCGCGTCTACCTCTTTTCCTTAGACCTTGAATATTCCAAGTTAGAGCTTGTCTTGTAATGCAGTGGAGTGATTTTATCAATGTGTTTCCCCATCTGTCTGCAGTTCTATTTCATAAATCTCTTCCTCCACTGGAATCTGGTTTGTTCCCTCACACAGTAGGTTGTTGATGATGGTGTCTGGACAACAGATTCTCAGTATTTTGCGTAGGCAACTGTTAGTAAACACTCATATTTTCTGGATTATTGCTTTCGTGGTTCTTGGTGTTGGTTGATAGTTGTTTTGAGTTACAGATGTTCTTCACTTGTAAAAATGATAGCCCTTGCTTTACTACTCTGTGCCTTCATATCTGCCTCAGATCCACCTTGCTCATCAATGATGCTGTCTAGATATTTAAAGGTTTCCACATCTCCTTGGAGGACGTTAACACCTTTACATATCTTGGCAACATCATCGACAACCATGGTGGATCCGATGCAGATGTGAGGGCGCGGATTGGCAAAGCAAGGGCTGCATTTCTCTAGTTGAAAAATATCTGTAAATCCAAACAACTTTCAACCAAAACCAAAATCACGATTTTCAATACAAATGTCAAGACAGTTCTACTGTATAGAGCGGTAACTTGGAGAACTACCAAAGCCATCATCCAGAAGATACAAGTGTTTATTAACAGTTGTCTACGTAAAATACTTCGGATTCGTTGGCCAGACACGACCAGCAACAACATACTGTGGGAGAAAACAAACCAGATTCCAGTGGAGGAGGAAATCAGGAATAACCGGTGGAAGTGGATAGGACACACACACTACGAAAAGCACCTAACTGCGTCACAAGACAAGCCCTCACATGGAACCCTCAAGGCAAAAGGAAAAGAGGAAGGCCAAGGGACACACTACGCCGAGAAATAGAGAAAGATATGAGAGGAATGAACAAACATTGGACAGAACTGGAATGGGAAGCCCAGGACAGAGTTGGTTGGAGAAAACTGGTGGGCGGCCTATGCTCTATTGAGGGTTACAGGTGTAAGTAAGTAAGTGCATCTCCTAAAGCTTCTCCGACAAGCGTGATTTAGTTTGATACATGTGGTGTTGTATCGGATGTTCTTGTTTTTTTTTCCCTCGTGTACGTTGAGACCACCAGCTGTAGACGCTGTTGATGATGTCAACCGTAAGAAATATAAATAAAACAAGACATTGGAAGCGCTGAAACATCAACGCTTAAAAAAAAAGCGAACAGCTATATTACCAATGAACTCTTTAAATGTCAAATATTTCTTGCTTACTTTCAATTCCATTGGATATTTCACTTCAATAACAAAACCCAAATCGGAATCAATCTCTTCAAAACATGATTGTAACAAAGGAAATGGTTGTAATTCAACTGGATCTAAATCTTCTTCATTCATTTCTGTTTTATTTTATTTTTTTTTTTTGAATGAAAAAAAAGCGAAAAAAACAGGGATTAATTGATTGATTGATTGAATAAAGCGCTACTAAATCAGCTGACGGGAAACAGTTTAAATTTCGCTCAAATTCATTTGTCAATAACATACACACACACACTCACACACATGAGTGACCTTGAAACAACCAAAAATAGAAAAAGTACAATGGGTAATATAACAAGAGGGAAAAGTGTGAAAGTATTTGTTTTTTTTTCTAATAAACAGTAAAAGAAAAAAGAATAATGGGATTATATGGGAGGAATTATGGACTTGAGTTATTTTTCTTATCGCAAAATTGATTTTCACTTAAATTATTATTGATTACTGGAATAAAAATTAAACAAACATCTTGTTCAATATAATTATAGCAGTTAAAGAGATTGTTGCTTACTACTGAATACATGAATCAATCGTTGTTAGACCATCATCATTAGAAACTTGGAAACATTGAAAGATGTGGTGGGTGAACACAGTGGAGGAGTTCAAACCTGTCGGGTGTAAAGGACAATGGATGAGGTTGCGCAAAATCCTAAGATTGATCAGAGTTAGACATTGACACAGTCGGATACCGACAGTTCAACGGTCTAAAAGTTAAGCGTTTGCACGTAGGACTGAAGGTGCTGGGTTCGATTTCGTGCGAGTAGCGGGTGTCGTGGATGTGCACTGCCACTGATGAGTAGTCACATACTAGGACGAAAGAGGCATCTTTCATTGCTTCCAGGTTTTTAATAGTATGGTCTAACAATGACCGATTCATAGTGGAGTTATTAGACTGAAGATCTATAAACAGTGCTGTCAATCGATATCATCTGTGACAGAAGATTCTGGATTATCGTAAATCAATCATATGAGAGAGCAGTTGAGTTATAAATTAGTAGGAATAAGGACCAGTCAATAAAACTGTGAAGGGTAAGTGAGAATTTACAATCATGATGGAGTTTTGTTTTTTAAACTGAATGCAGACAGATAACACCGGGGTGGCGGGTAAAGGTCGATAATAACCAATGAAGATCAAAGTCGACAGAGCAATCTGGGAGTGTGTATAGGGAGTGAATTCTAATACTTCACTTCTACCTCGAAATGCAACATGTTGCTTCAAGACTGGGTTGCATTGGCACCTGAACTAGTGATAGGGAGTGAAGTAGTCGAGCGTGTTGATCACTTCAATTTTCTGGGGAGTCTCATCAGTGCTGATGGCCTGGTGACTGACGAAATCTCAGCTCGGATACAGAAAGCTCGATTGGCTTTTGCCAACTTGCGTCATTTATGGCGTAGGCGTGATATCCGTTCGCTAACCAAAGGGCGGGTGTACTGTGCAGCAGTTCGTTCCGTTCTCTTATATGGCTGTGAAACATGGCCGTTAAGAGTAGAAGATATTCGTAGGTTACTAGTATTCGATCATAGATGTTTAAGAAGCATTGCTCGTATATCGTGGGACAACCGAGTAAGCAACGCTGTTATTAGGAAACGGGTACTAGGTAAGAATGGCAGATCAATAGATGAACTGGTGAAACTTCATCAGTTGAGGTGGTTGGGCCATGTGTTACGTATGGCCAACCACCGACTGCCTCGACGAGCTATGTTTTGTGGTGTAAGAGTAGGTTGGAAGAAAGTCAGGGGCGGCCAGACCAAAACATGGCACAAAACCATGAAGTCACTGACAAGTGGACTGAGTCATGTTGGTAGATGTAGGTTAGCTACCTGGTTGGGGTCCGCGAGACGATAGTTACCAATGGTTAGTGACCTTGAACGACATGGCTCAAAATCGTTTGCAATGGTGCAGGTGCATCCACTCCTTGAGCTCTCTCAAATCCTAATCTTCTGGATTCGTCAACTCCTCTACCTTTGTCTTTCTAACCTTATCTCACTGAATTATACTTCTTGAATAATATCTTCAAACCCTGGTCTTCTTCATTACCATTAATACCTCTACTATCTTTATCATTATGGTATTTGTTTCGACATTTGCGTCTCTGTGTTAATGTTGTATGGCAACTTGAACTTATGTACATACGTACGAAGTTCCACATTGCAACTGACTGACTTCTACCTCAGGTATATGTTGAAAGTTACACAACCAAGTTATTCTGCTTACAGTACAAAACTCCAGCATAATCATCTCAATCTCAGAAAAAAATTTTCTTCCCTATCTCAATATTTTAAAATGTGTTTGTTAAAATATGCCATCTTATATTACAACTATTACCCCCAACAGAGCATAGGCCGCTGACCACCAGCATTGGCCTTGTTGAGGTATTATCCATGTGAGGGCTAGTCTTGTGACACAGTTAGATGCTTTCCACAATATGTGCCCTATCCAAATTCCATCGCTTTGTTGAATAAGAGCTTCCGGAAGTTTGGCAGTAGTACACAGAGTTTCATGTTATTTTACTTCAAATTCTGTGCTGTTTCTCTCGTCAAAATAAGAAAAAACACAGGAACTAAGCAAAAATTCTTACACATGAGATGATTATGCAATTATGACATGTATACATCATTACATACACATTTAGATTTCAATTCAATTCAGTGTAGGTCTTTTGTTGAAGGTATTTGAGAGAAAGACAAAAAAAAGGAAGGTTATGTTCTCTTGAATTAATAATGCAAACTTTCACTGGTGAAGAAAGTTTTTTTAATGATTTTACTGTTTTAAAAACAGATCACATATTTTCAAATAAACAGAAGAAAAAAAATTATTAAATAACCGTTGACAGACTATGAGAACATTTTTTTATCTTAGTTATTATTAAAGAATTTCGTTAGAATATGGAGGAATTCAAAAGGATTGTTGTGTAGATAACAGAAAAAAAATTGTAAGTCAGTGGGGGGTGGTGGTTGTTGGTTTGTGCAAATATGTTTGAGAGAGACAAAAAAACATATACTGAACATAGGAATTTCAGATTTCTAAAGTATGTTGATTTCAGTTTCACTTAGTCAGTCAGTCAGTCAGTAATAAGATAGAACTCGGTATGTACGTACGAACGTTCGTACATCAGTTCAAGTTGAGTTAGTAGGAGTATTATAAGCAGTAATCGGAGAGATTAGAGTTCGAAGAAATTATTCAAGAAGTATGATGATTCAGTGACACAGAGAAAGGATAGAGGTGATGGGGAATTAATTCTGAAGATTAGAATTTGAACGAACAAAACGAGTAGATGCACCTGTGCCATCCATTGCAAACGGTTTTGAGCCATGTCATTCAAGGTCTCTAACCATCGATGCCTTTGGTCTCGCGGACCCCAACCAGGTAGCTAGCCTACATCTACCAACATGACTCAGTCCACTTGTCAGTGACTTCATGCATTTCTGCAATGTTTTGGTTTGACCACCCCTACTCCTAAACCGCCAAACATAGCTCGATGAGGCAGTCAGTGGTTAGGCATACGTAACACATGGCCCAACCACCTCAACTGATTAAGTTTCATTACTTCATTTACTGATCTGCCATTCTTACCTAGCACTCGTATCCTAACGACAGCATTGTTTACTCGGGTGTCCTAGGATACGCGAGCAATGCTTCGAAGACACCTATGTTCAGAAACCTACGAATATCGTCTACGCTCACTGGCCATGTTTCACAACCATAAAGTAAGACGGAGCGAACTGCTGCGCAGTACACTCAACTTTTGGTTAGTAAACGGGTATCTCACCTACACCATAAGTGATGCAAGTTGGTAAAAGCCATTCGAGCCGTTTGTATCCGTGCTGAGATTTCATCAAATACCAACCAGGCCATCAGCACTGATAGGTAGTTCTTAATTATCTATCGAAAATGTCTATTAAGGTTCAGAAATGTCAGGAAACATTTCATCAATTCAACACAGAATAGAACGTACACATAAACATCTAGTTAGTGAAAAATCACGCTCCATGATTCTGATTGGATAGTTAGACATACCATTATTATCATTTAATATGGTTCCTGAATCCTCCATGTGCCCGAATTCACGTGTAACTCTGTACATATCCTCTTTTCAGTCTACATAAACTAAACTTGGAGTAAAGAGTTCTCTTCGTACTTGTGTTCAAGTTGCAATATGGATTTAGTCCGGAGGTTGATAGAACCGATAAGGAAACCAGGTCTTGTGTTTATTTATAGCAGACTTATCAGTTTGAAAAAGCGTAAGTTTTTACTGAATGTTATTTCACATTAAAATTCGAATCAAAAGTGGCCATGTGAGGTTATTTATTCGATGACCATCAGAAATCTTCTAAAGGAGTAATGGGGTGGAATATGTATTTAAATATATATATATATTTCCGAGGATGGGTTCTTATAATTTAATAGCCGAATGGACTTACGCTGGGGACGTTAGGTCCCCAGAACTCACTTGGAAAAGGTCCGAATTTTGTGATCTTATACTGAAAATTTGAAATTCATTGTTTTTGCGCAAAAGACACTTAGTTGACCTTCAGCTTACATCTCCCACTCGGAAAATCCTTGAATATCATTGGTTGATGGATTATTTTAGTACGCCATTTTGTGACCCTCTCAAGTGCGTTTCTATGATTGTATGAATAAGCTTAAGTTGAATGCTTAGCAACCTCGAATTTCCTGAGTGCCTGTAGAATACATTTCTCTACATTTTATCAAGACTTCTTGATCTAGTTAGAGGGAAGTAAGACAATCGGATTAGAACAGACTATCAGGTCACTGCATCGTTGATCTTCGTTCCGTTTACCGAGTAAGGTAAAATCACAACAGTTTCAAGCATATCAACTTTTGATTCTAGTTTTGCATTCTCGCTCAAGTCATCGACGTATGAGGTTAGTAGGTGTCGCATTAAGATCTGTAAAACCGTTCATCATAACAAATAACCCTATGATTCTATAGTCATTTAGAGTTTTCGTGTTTTCTCTTTAATATAATGAAAAATGATCGACCATGAGTATTCATTATATAAATATGGAGATTGTTGTTTTTCATTCGAAATCTGGAATCAATCAATGTTAGACTACAATCATAGAGAAACCTGGAAGTAGTGAAAGACAGCCGTCTCATCCTGGTATAGGACTCTTCGTTGGCCATGCGTATCCACGATCCCCGTTCTCGGGGATTGAATTCAGGACCTACAGTTTAGCAGGTGTACGCTTAACACCTAGATCACCTAACCGATTTACAATGGCGTTAATGTTTAAATATGATCGATCTAAAGTATCACGCATATTTCTCGTCCCGACCGTAGCTGCTACCTTGACGTGGTGGTCAGCCTTGCCTATCGTCATGACCCGACCGAGCTATACTGGCTGGAATATATGTTCCTGAAGGTCCTACCATGTCAGGCAGGTCGATTGGAGAACGATGAGACTAAAAACAGCTGCCCAAGGTCTGAGGGCGAAGTCGTACTGCTGACTGCAGAGGGGTATGACAGCAGTAAGGTGTTTCCCTTGGACAACCATCATCTGCAGCGATGCTGCTTTCTCACAAAGAAGGAAGGGTTAGAAAAGGTCGACCCTGACGGATTTCCGTCCCCTGCGGTAAGGGTGCCAACTAAGGGCGTTTAAGAGCCGAGCTAATACTCAAGAAACCTTTCATAAAAAGGCCGTGCGTGACCAGCCTCAAGTAGTTGTCACTTTGGCTCTGCGGTCACGTACCCAGGTCTCCAAGACCAACGCTGATCTACTTTCCTTTTCAGGTTCCTCAAGAAACAACCTTCCACAGTGTGGGCAGCCGGGAAGTGACAACCGCCCTCATACCCGTAACAGAACAGGAAACCAAATTGGTCAGAATCAAATACTTCTTACACCCGTGTCTGCCTATTTCTCATAAAAAAGATCTGAAGCACCGCGCATCATAACCAATAGCTGTACAAGTTAGTACAAACACCATTGAGTAATTGATATCCTTGTCTAATCGACAAACTGTACACCGAAAAGTGTAAATCCATTCATTCATTTATTTGAAAATACAATAGATAGATAATTAATTGAAAACAATAAAAATCACTTACTTTCATGTGTATGACTTTCTTTTAATACACTTGAATGACGAACATTTAATTCACGTAAATCATTATAATTTAAATCTTTAATAGCTATACGTAAATAACACAGTTGACCACCTCTTTTCTTTTGTTTTGTTTAATATTGAAAGAAAAGAAAAATTAAGAAATTAAAATGAGATTTTGACTGATTCAATCATAAATTATATATATATATATATATATATATATATATATATATATATATATATATATATTTATCACACAGTTGTGAAGATTATTGAGGTTGATAAAAATGATGAGTCGATCATTGCTAGACCATCATTAGAAAGCTGGAAGCATTGAAATTCAGCCGTTTCGCCCTAGTATAGGACTCCTCAGCGGTGCTGATCCATGACACCACACGATGGAATCGAACGCAGGACCTTCGGTCTCTAGACCATGTCGGGTGTAGGCAGCTACCTACCGAAGACAATCGGTGAGGATGCACAAGTTAGACATTAACGCCGTTGAGGGCCGGTCCGGCAGTCTCTAGGTTAAGCGTTCGCACATGAGACCGAAGGTCCTAAGTTCGATTCTGGCGAGCAGTGTTCTTGGACGTACAATGCTGAGGAGTCCTATACCAGGACGAGACAGCTGTCTTTCAGTACCTTAGGGTTTCGAACGCTAGTCTAACAATGATCAATTCATGATAAATGATATGAACAGATTTAGTCAGAATAAAATAAATATAAGTTTCCGATAATTATTTGTTTAGTTATCACCTGTTGCATCATGTACACCATTGATTAACAAAAAAGAAGTCAGTTGAAAGTGCGAAATTATTTTTGATCGGTTTTCTCACAGTTAAAACAATCAGTCGAATTGCTAATTGAAGACTATACTAATTAAACAAGCCTCGAAATCAATCAAATCCATATTGACAAAATTTATTTCGTTGTATTGATCAAATCAATCAAACAGTTCATTCTCAGATCAGAAATAGTATTCATGTCTAATCACAGATGCAAATCAAGCAGTCTACACTTCTACTAACAGGGCAAAGTCTAACGGTGATGGACTCTTCATCGATTTGTCAAATAATAATAATAATGTCAATTTACTAACTCACGGGGAAATTTATGTAGGTAATTCAGAGGGGTTGGGCGGATAAATTGAATCTAATCTCTTATTTACAAGCAGTATTTACTTTACTACCTGCAAGGCATGAGAAGCCCCACCCGGAGCCCCTCCTCTAGGGGCTACTATCGGTCCCAAGCCCGGCTGAGGTTAGAGACCTCCAACTTACTAAAAAAAATGCTAACCAGAACAGATAATTTAAACTATTTTGTATTTCTATCCTAGGAGTTAGAAGGTTTATATTTAGAAGAGTTATGAAAAGTCTCATGATAAAAGCCGAGTTCCTTCGAAAGCTGGCAGCCTACGCTCCTCCACTAGGGATAACATGCGTAAGTCAGTCAGTAAAAAGGATTAAGATTAACGTATAAAATACCGCCTGTTCTATCATACATACATCTTCACTCAAAACCATTTATAGATAGACACACACATTCTGAGGATGACACACATTCGATGGAATACGATGAAACCTTGATGTTTATATGCTAAAGCGTAACTATTTATTTTTTCCCAGGCATAATTTTATACTGATTATTCAAACAAGTTTTAAAATAGTCAAACAATGAAAACAAATAAATCTTTTGAAGTTTAATCATGATGATATTCATCCCTAAGAGTGATATAGTTTTATTTTATAATTAATCGATCATGGTTTCAAAAATGTGTAACTTAACAATCTTCACAACCCTGTAATGCAAATTACCTGAGCTCAATAGTGACTAGCTTCGTGAGGAATCTTCTCCGAGTTCTAGTGGGAAGACGTGACCAGTGAAGTTCAACCTGTTCGGGTGTAGACAGTAACTACTACCGAAGACTGTGTATGAGGTTGAGCAACTCCGTGAATATGATCAAGTTAGACATTAACACTGTTAGATACCGGCTCAGTGGTCTATCGGTTAGAGCATTCGCGCACAATATCGAAGGTCCTGGGTTCGAATCCTGCGAGGCGCAGGAGTCGTGGATGCGCACTGCCATTGACGAGTCAGTCCCATACTAGGACGAAACGGCCGTCTTTCAGTGCTTCCAAGTTTCTAATGGTGGTCTAACATTGATCGATTCATGGTTTCAAAAAAAAATGTGTAACTTAACAATCTTCACAACCCCGTAATATAAATTTTAATGTAAAAATAATTAATCTAGGGAAAAACAATAACGTTTATTTAAAAATTTTATTAATCAAAAGTTTTTAAAAAATAAAAATACCCCAACATTTTCAATTCATAAATATTTATTCATTCAAATTTAATAACCATTGAACAGATTTTAAATTATAATGTGTCCAGTGAATAAGTTAATCGATGATGGTGTGTCAGTCAATCAATCAATCGGTCAGTTACAACGTAGAACTTCGTACGTACGTATGTGTGTGTACATCAATCAGTCGAAGTCGCCATAACACATTAACATACACTGACAGATATCGAATTGTCAATTCAAATCCCATAGTAGTAGATAAAGCAGCAAGCAGTATGAGCAGCGAAAATGGAAAGATTAGGATAAGAAGAAATTATTTTTTAAGAAGTATAATTTACAGTGAAATAGATTTGAGAAGAGAAAGATAAAGGTGATGAGGAATTCAGAAGATTAGAATGTCGGAGAACACACCTGCTCCATTATAAACAATTTTGAGTCGTATCATTTTCATAGTCTGTAACCACCGGTTGTTATTGTCTCACGGACATTAACCGGATAGTCTGCATCTAACAACATGCCTTAGTCCAGTTGTCGAATGACTACTTCATGGATTTATGGGTGGTTTTTGGTGGAGTTTGGGTTCTTTAAACTGAATAGTTTACTTGTGTGAAACATAGGAAAATGATAAAAAGAAATTTATGAAATGTTGACAGTTTGCTAAACGATTACTTCAAGTCCAAATGGAATAGTCAAGTATTTAGAGAAGACGTAGCAGCGTACTAACAACGCGAGTAGACATAATCTTCCAACTTCCATTTACAAAAACTGGCACATTCCGCGTTATATATTCGCATCCAACAGTAGTAGTAGTAGTAGTAGTAGTAGTAGTAGTAACTTGTACGCGACACTCAGCTGACTACTACTACTACTGATAAACAACAATGCAAGTAGTATCCACCACAATAGTAGTTTTTGTGAAGAAGAAGAAGAAGAAGAAGAAGAAGAAGAACAAGGCATTGTAAAAGACTTAAACTTCAATAAGTTTGGGTCTTGAAGAATCCACCCTCCCCCTCCATTATTAATACAATATTACGACAAACACTTTGCAGAAAAAAAAAATAACAACCGTTATCCGTCAAGTGATATCCAATCGTTTGGATTCACTGTCTATGCATACACAGGTTAAGAAATGTAGCTGTCAAATAAATGTCAACGACTAACCCAACATCGTTGAAAAGAGATCAACTTTGGCGATGATCAGTCATTCAGTAAGTCAGATGCAACGTAGAACTTCGTACGTAAGTACATCAGTTCATGTCGCCATACCACATCAGCACAGAGATGTAATTGTCAATTCAAATCCAATAGTAGTAGAGGTATTAAGGGTATAAGCAGTAATCGGAGATGTTAGGGTTAGAAGATATTGTTCAAGAAGTATGATTCAGTGAGAAAAGTTTAGAGAGTCGAAACTAGAGGTGTTGAAGAATCCAGAAGATTAGGATTTGAGAGAACACAAAGAATAAATGCACCGGCGCCATTGCGAACGATTTTGAGCCATGTCATTCAAGGTCTCTAATCATCGAGTATTATCATCTCGCGGACCCCAACCACGTAGTCGACAATTACCGATATGGCTCAGTCCACTCGTCAATGACTTCATGGATTTCTACCATGTTTTGGTCTGGCCACCCCTAACTTTCTTCCAACCTACTCCTACCCGACCGTAGCTGCTACCTTGACGTGGTGGTCGGGCTTGCCTATCGTGATGACCCAACCGAGCTATATTGGCTGGAACATATGTTCCTGTAGGTCCTACCATGCCAGACAGGTCGATTGGAGAACGATGAGACTAAAAGCAGCTACTCAAGGTCTGAGGGCGAAGTCGTACTGCTGACTGCAGAGGGGTGTGACAGCAGTAAGGTGTTTCCCTCGGACAACCAGCATCTGCAGCGATGCTGCTTTTCTCACAAGGAAGGAAGGGTTAGAAAAGGTCGACCTTAAGAAGGTCACACATCACCTCACCACACTGATTTCCGTCTCCTTGAGTAAGGGTGCCCACTAAGGGCCTTTAAGAACGGAGCTAATACTTTAAATACCTTTCGTAAAAAGGCCGTGCGTGACCGGCCTCAAGCAGTTGTCCCTTGGGCTCTGCGGTCACGCACCAACACTAATCCATCTTCCTTTTCAGGTCCCTCAAGAAACAACCTTCCACGGTGTGGGCAGCCGGGAAGTGACAACCGCCCTCATACCCGTAACAGCACGCGAGACCAAATTGGTCAAAATCAAATCCTTGGCGATGATCACCTTTACATACACCAATTTGTGTATAAATAAAAGTTAAAAATTAAAGATTAAGTTAGATGATGTACGATTTTCTTTTTTTATGAACTCAACTCACTTGAATAATCATCTTTATATCTTAATGTTCTATTGACTTTCATATAAAAAGATATTTTTTTGAATTAATTGTCTACTTTTTATGTGCCAGTAATAATAATAAAAATAATAAGCACACACACACACACACACTCGCACACACATAAAGCAAACGCTAATGAATTCCATTGCACAAGCAGAAACTACTTAGATATAATAACTGTATGTTATGCAATTAATGATGGTCTAACAATGGTTGATTGATTGATGATTTCAAATGTGTGTAAAAACACAAACCTCCAAAACTCTGCCCCAAAATATCATAACAGTGCTCACTAGTGACTGTGTCTAGCTTCGTCGACAAATTCTCGGAGTTCTAGTTGAGAAGACGTGAACAAGTGGTGTTCAACCGTGTTGGGAGTAGGCAGTAACTACCAAAGACAATGCTGGGTGAGGTCGCGCAAAATCCAACAGATCAATCAGAGTTAGACATTAACA